TGAAAAAATTTGAACGATTTTCTGTCGAATAAAGTCTATTCGAAGTGTTTAGCGTTACTACACAGCAAGTTACGATCATTTAATGATAATTTCTTCTAGGTTTTGAGCAATTTCTAATATGAACGAAGATTTCAATGTTTAAATGTGCATTTACAGTATGCATCTAAACTAGTAAACACATATACATAGAAGTGCAAAACTTTGCACTTACGATCCATGTCGAAACACTCAGCATTTCGTAAGAAATCGGTTGTTTTTGCGCACTAGTCTTGTGATGCACTTTCGAAACCGTAAACATGTCAACATGTAGCATGTGCTCGGCAGAGCTGCTTGCTCTATACCATGTACGGTATCGTTTACAATGTATTCTATTGTTATGCAGTGTCTTGTACTCTCCCTGTTTAGGAAGAGATTTCCAAAATTTTATCAGACCACAATCATTTGATTGAGTCAGATCTAGAAAATACCTCAAACTTGGGTAATTAAACCGTCGACGTTATCGTCCTAGCGAACGACTAGTTGCAGCACGTCCTACTGCACGCATATTTGCAGGTATGCCTTACCTGGACATTTGCTAAGTGTCTATGAAGCAATTTTCACTTACAAACATAAGTTTTTTGACTTTTAAGGCATTTTTCAGCTCGATAATGCCATCGTAAGCATGTCAACATTGAAGTATTTGAAAAAATTTGAACGATTTTCTGTCGAATAAAGTCTATTCGAAGTGTTTAGCGTTACTACACAGCAAGTTACGATCATTTAATGATAATTTCTTCTAGGTTTTGAGCAATTTCTAATATGAACGAAGATTTCAATGTTTAAATGTGCATTTACAGTATGCATCTAAACTAGTAAACACATATACATAGAAGTGCAAAACTTTGCACTTACGATCCATGTCGAAACACTCAGCATTTCGTAAGAAATCGGTTGTTTTTGCGCACTAGTCTTGTGATGCACTTTCGAAACCGTAAACATGTCAACATGTAGCATGTGCTCGGCAGAGCTGCTTGCTCTATACCATGTACGGTATCGTTTACAATGTATTCTATTGTTATGCAGTGTCTTGTACTCTCCCTGTTTAGGAAGAGATTTCCAAAATTTTATCAGACCACAATCATTTGATTGAGTCAGATCTAGAAAATACCTCAAACTTGGGTAATTAAACCGTCGACGTTATCGTCCTAGCGAACGACTAGTTGCAGCACGTCCTACTGCACGCATATTTGCAGGTATGCCTTACCTGGACATTTGCTAAGTGTCTATGAAGCAATTTTCACTTACAAACATAAGTTTTTTGACTTTTAAGGCATTTTTCAGCTCGATAATGCCATCGTAAGCATGTCAACATTGAAGTATTTGAAAAAATTTGAACGATTTTCTGTCGAATAAAGTCTATTCGAAGTGTTTAGCGTTACTACACAGCAAGTTACGATCATTTAATGATAATTTCTTCTAGGTTTTGAGCAATTTCTAATATGAACGAAGATTTCAATGTTTAAATGTGCATTTACAGTATGCATCTAAACTAGTAAACACATATACATAGAAGTGCAAAACTTTGCACTTACGATCCATGTCGAAACACTCAGCATTTCGTAAGAAATCGGTTGTTTTTGCGCACTAGTCTTGTGATGCACTTTCGAAACCGTAAACATGTCAACATGTAGCATGTGCTCGGCAGAGCTGCTTGCTCTATACCATGTACGGTATCGTTTACAATGTATTCTATTGTTATGCAGTGTCTTGTACTCTCCCTGTTTAGGAAGAGATATCCAAAATTTTATCAGACCACAATCATTTGATTGAGTCAGATCTAGAAAATACCTCAAACTTGGGTAATTAAACCGTCGACGTTATCGTCCTAGCAAACGACTAGTTGCAGCACGTCCTACTGCACGCATATTTACAGGTATGCCTTACCTGGACATTTGCTAAGTGTCTATGAAGCAATTTTCACTTACAAACATAAGTTTTTTGACTTTTAAGGCGTTTTTCAGCTCGATAATGCCAATATTGAAGTATTTGAAAAAAAACTGAACGATTTTCTATCGAATAAAGTCACTGCACTGCACTGCACTGGAGACACTGCATAACAATAGAATACATTGTAAACGATACCGTACATGGTATAGAGCAAGCAGCTCTGCCGAGCACATGCTACATGTTGACATGTTTACGGTTTCGAAAGTGCATCACAAGACTAGTGCGCAAAAACAACCGATTTCTTACGAAATGCTGAGTGTTTCGACATGGATCGTAAGTGCAAAGTTTTGCACTTCTATGTATATGTGTTTACTAGTTTAGATGCATACTGTAAATGCACATTTAAACATTGAAATCTTCGTTCATATTAGAAATTGCTCAAAACCTAGAAGAAATTATCATTAAATGATCGTAACTTGCTGTGTAGTAACGCTAAACACTTCGAATAGACTTTATTCGATAGAAAATCGTTCAAATTTTTTCAAATACTCTAATATTGACATGCTTACGATGGCATTATCGAGCTGAAAAACGCCTTAAAAGTCAAAAAACTTATGTTTGTAATTGCCGTATACCTGCTGTAAGTGATCTCCTAAAGAGCACCAGGTTCTCAATTTTTCATAAAAATGATAGAGAGTAGAGTGCTATTTTTTGCTTTATTGTCAGTCGTCCTACTTTAATGATAAGTATTCCACAATTCAAAGATATTGCAACTGGAACATATTCACCAGAGTCACAATTCTGGCTATGAGTCGACAAACCATTAGCATTAATAGACCATGTTCATAATTCCATCTTAAAAAACCTTTCCTGCGCATCCTCATTGGCATGGGTGTACAGAAAAAGTGATTTAAACTATTTCTGCACATAGCCTTGCTCAATTTTAACCTAACCTATCCTTCAAAAATGTCACGTAATGGTCAAATTAAAGCTTCCTCATTCAGTAGCGGGCTGACAACGTTATCAGGGAACAAAAAAATCTATTTGTCCGTTTATGCAGTTGATAATAGGTCGGATTGTATGACGACACTGACGCGAATCGCAAATCGTATTGGAGAAGCAGATGTGCCTTTGCTGATCTGTAAGACGACGCAAATTGGATAAGTCTGCTGAGAAGTCTTCATTTAAACCAGTTTCTGCACCTAATTTGATCCATGCATGATTCAAACCTTGTATCATCGGTTTCAAGATTCGTGTGAAGGTGGGTTGCGGACTTTCCTGATTTCAGGATAAAGTTATTAAAACTCTACGGTATAACATTGTATAGTCTCTCGCTGAGTTTATCATTAAATTTAGGGAAGTCCGCAATCCACATGAATCTGGGAGCCGGTCATACTACGATAGAAACCCTTTCTCAAATTCTTGCTGATGAACTGTATCTTTAAAAGCCCGGAACCTGATATTTTGACGCTCGAGCCCTTCATGAATGACCCAAACTTTCATCCCTTCACCGTTGACGAAAAGCGAACGCTACCCATATTGGTCAAGTTTTAAGCTTTTCATATTCTTGCCATTGTGTAGTTTGAAGTTGATTGTTCATCTTATAAATGCTCAGAACATTGAAAACGCAGTTTGAAACTTTACATTTGACAATTAAATACAAATTATTACATATAATCTTACATCTGCTATGTAAAACGAAGCCGCTTTCCTATAAAATAGATCTGTGGTAGCAGCCTTCTATTATTGTTGGCGCGATATGGTCTGTCCGATTTTGTGCCGCACTTATAGCGAGCCTATTGACGCTCGTTGTGAACCGAAAGGTGAAAGAAAATTGTAGGCAAGCCTGAACTCTTTGCACTATTTTTCTTTTCAACGTATAATCTTCACCTTATACAAAGTTCGACAGGATTTTGCGCCGGTACTCCACTTTGCACAAAAAATTCATAGCGAATCACATTAATAGATGACTTAGGATGCAGTGCTAGAAAATGCTAACATGAAACCATGGTAGGATCAAGACAGATGCTTTGCACCCGCTTAAAACATCAAAGAAAAAACCTGAAATTGAGTAGCACTCTTTACAATAACTGCGAAAAAAGCTGCGTATAAAAATGGGGGATGGAAACCGAGCCGAACAACATGTGCACCATAAGCAGAAGGCTGCTGTCACATGTCCTATTCCCGTTTTTTCATTGAAGAAGCGGAACTATGCCACATAGAACATTCTCTACTTTTCACTTCGTAACCGCAAAATTTTTTTTGAATCAAGATAGTACACGAAACAATAAAACAGGATGAAGTCTTTTAGAGGAACATGATCTCCTAATTTAAGATTGAAAGCTTGAGAAAAGAGTGAAATTAAAATAGAGTGCTTTTGCTCACTACATCAATCGAGTAAACACAGAAACCATTTTTTGCAATCATTAATTATTAGGCTGGAAACTAAGTTTTGCAACTGGTTTCATAACTTCACTCTCTTTGATTTGGCGCGCTCACACTTTGGCGTCATGCAGAGGGCAATGTGAGCTACAAGTGAGCACAAATTGTCTAAATTTTGAACAAGAAAAAGGAAAGTTTCAAGCGTTTTCAGAAAACTAGTGAAATTTGAGAATTTTTGGGGTTTTAAGCTAAAATGAAACCTTTAGCAGCCTAGACCATGCGCAGTAATCCGGATTCGTCTAAACATTACTGCTGGAGGTTGACTCCTTTGGCCCAGTAAGAAAGAAACAAAATTTATGGGCATGTCGAGATTTGGCGTCCTCATAAAGTCGAACGAATCGATGTACGCAAGAGCTGCTGGGGACGACCGTTAATGACTAAGGAGTCCGAAGCTCATATTCTGCTGAGACTTTACATATTAAGGTTATTCAACCGCCAAACGCAATATCACATTTATTTGTTGAATCAACGCCTTTTTCCTTGTTTAGGGCGGGACCACATATCGTACACCTGCAGTAATCCTACAAAAAAGCCCCTATCACGCAATTTCACTATCGTTTTCGTGATCAGCATGTCGGATAACATGCCTATGCCAATTTTCAGCCAAATCCGTCAAACCTTGAATTTTTCCCCTTCATACCATACACCTACCGTAACTTTCACTGCGACGTCAAAATTTGGTAGGACAGCAGCTGCGCTTGTAGCTTACGTGATAACAAACGCAGTGGCAAAATTTGAGTGCGCCATGTTGAGTGAGAGGGAAGTTATGAGATCAGTTGCAAAACTTAGTTTCCAACCTAATATTTCTGTTTCTACGTAAAACAGCAACTTCATCCTATTTGCTGTTCAAATGATGATTTTCGCCAAAGCACAAAACAGAAAGTCAAGAACCATTGAGAATTTTAGGGGTAAGCACAATTATGTTTGTTTCTCAGCTGTCTTAATGTTCCCTGTGGTGATGAGAACCGATACAACTATTAGTGATCCAATGCCATAGAAAATTGAGGTTGTGTCCCACATGAACAAGCCACTTACTATCACTGCTATCAACCGGCAGCAGTCGACAAAGATGCATATGCGTCTGAAACGCAATTATAGGCAACATTCGCTTTTCAGTGTTGTCTTACCTTTGATCGAAATAATATCCAAACGTCTGTGCAAACAAAATTAAATAGGACAGATAAGTTAGAAACAGTGGCCATGACATGGTTTGTCGGTCAACAGCAAATTTCAGGAAGTTTCCAAGTAGAATTAGCCATTGAAAGAGCAAGTAGTATCGTAGTGGTGCACACAGAGGTGGATTATACGGAACAACAGGATTTTCGATCTGAAGTAGACTCTACGTTATTTGCTTTGTATATGTGCGCTGTGAAAAAAGGGAAGACACACTTTTGGTATCCTTTCAGTATTGTCCGCCTTATAAAGCCACATCAAAAAGCGTTTGGTTTTGACGCCAGGGAAGTAGCCCGGAGGCAAGAAAGCAGCTTTTACCTAAAAAAATGCATGTTTCCTTGTTACGACCGTCGAATATATTCAGACTTAAAAGGAAAGTAAAATAGGTGAAGTGGCCCTTTTTTACGTGATGCACTTTTCGGACACTATTTGAATTAAGTTGATCTGCTAGTATTTCTTATGCCGCACAGGTTGATATGGTGAAACTTTATTGACCTAACGTTTCGCACAACTCGTCTTCGTCGAAGGTCTTCGGTCCACCAAAGAGTCAGTAGTCCGCACTAGATCAGTGTGACGGACATGACATCACATGACACATGACATGACATCAACCATACCAACCTGTGCGGCATAAGAAATACTAGTACATCAACTTGCGTCAAAGATGCCCAAGTTTCAAGATGAGAACCATGGAAACTACCCTATTTTCCGGTTTATAAGCCGCACCTTATATAAGCCGCACCCGCCGCAGCGAACAATGGCGCGAAAGAGCTTTCGAAAAGAAAATTTTTGATTTGAAAACTTGCTGCATTTTGTGACTGCTTTTCATGGCACATGTTCACGTCTTCAAGTATTTCTTTATTCTTTCCAGAGATTAGGACGATTTTGGGGTGTTTGGGTTGTGTTATTTTCCTCAAGGACACAATAAAGTTGACAGCGCTTTCTTTTGTTTTTAAAGATGTGCTAAGGTTAAAGCTGCTGCTATTTCATCCGATTTTAATGATTGTTGATGATGATGTTGACGTTTCAATGGTGCTTTCAATGCATTAAAGAAAGAGCGAAAGCAGAAAGTTACAATCAGGCTACTAGGTAAAATAGGTGGTAGTTGGCTGGTTGCGCGGCTTCGCACATCGCGACCATCATCGCACATCAGCTCGCGCGCGACGAAAATAATTGCGGCTCATACGCCGGAAAATAGGGTATTTGAATTATCAGGTTGTCCCATAAGTTCCGTCCGTTTTGAATTTCAATCGCATAAATCATGAACTTCTTCTTTGTAGATAAGCTCCAAGGTACCATTCGATAGAGCAAAGCAAGCTCTACAAGATGGCTATCCCGCTTCTGCAACTTTGACCCATCTTGAGTTTAAAGGCGAAAACTAAAAAGATTCAACTGTCTGAAAAATCGAGAAAAAATCATAACTCCGTTTGAAAAAATCCTACAAAAATTCTAACTTGCTCGCGGAAACACTATACATTTAAGACATTTATATGCGCAGTTGCCATATTTTTTTATGGTTAGAAATTGAGAAAACGAAGATTTTCATGTTTTTGCTAAAGCGATGCTGTGCTATTCCTACATACGTGCTTGTGTACTACAGACCAGTACAAGTACAGCCACAAATTTTCAGCGCTCTATAGGCTTTAGCTTTCGAGAAATAATCGTTTTGATATAAAACACCCGACTGTGCAAAGCTAAATTCAGTGTTTCTCGAGAACTAAAGCCTGCAAAGAGCTGAAAATTTGTGTCTGCACTTGTACTGGTCTGTAGTATACAAATACTAGTGTGGGAATAGCACAGCATCATTTTGGCAAAAACATGAAAATTTTCGTTTTCTTGATTTCATCGAAGGAAAAAATACAGAAACAGTGTATATAAATTGCTGATGTGGATATCCTGTCTGTGAACAAATTAGGAATTTTCTAGATTTTTCTGGAAGGAGTTACGATTTTTTCCTCATTTTTCGGGCGGTTGGATTTTTCTGGTTTTTGGCTTCAAACTCGAGATGGATTTGAACTCTTGCGAAAATAAGAAGCTCATCTTGTAGAGCTTGCTTTGCTCTATCGAAAGGTACCTTAAGTCCTGTTTAGAACCAAGAAGTTCATGACTTATTGCGATCGAAAGCTGAAACGGACGGAACTTATGGGACAGCCTGATATTTAGTGCGGGTGTATGAAGAACGAGAATAATCCAGCCACTGGTAGCAGGTAGTAATTTGCACCAGCAACGTTTACATCATCTAATTGTAAGTTGTTTTACGTAAAAGTTATGCATGTCAGCCTGTACGCAAGACAGTAAGCAACTGGCTTGTTCTACATTTGTTAGATATAATAGTTATTTGCATTACATCGATTAAAAACTTTATGAGCTTTTTGAACTCGTAAATGTCCACGTTTCGCCGCAACAATGTTACATTTTTACGCACAATCTCTACAGTGTACGTTTACGACGCGTCTTTAAAAGTCAAAAAAAAAATTAAATCAGAATCTGCATTATCATCTATTAGGCTGTCTGGAAACCAGTACAGGTTTTCTATACAAGCGCAGTAAAGCGGATAGAATAATGTAAAAAGCGTATTGTATGATAGAGCTAAAATTGTCGCTATAAGCCTAAAATTTGCTCCGAAAGTGGCCCGAATCTTACGGTAGGCCCGAACGCCGCCCACACAGCAATATCGATTTGTAGGGCAGAGTGCGTATAGAGCGCACACAGACATGAGCGCAGGGACCGGCAACAACTCTGCGTCTCTACCTTGCATGCGTCTCGCACTCGACTAAGCCTACCGTAAATTTCGGGCCATTTGAGGGGCGATTTGTAGACTTCGTAGACCCCCTTTCGCGCTGCAAACTTTTGTATTCGCTTAATTAGGGGGTCTACTATTACATTGCTACCAGAGCCAGGTATACCCCCCCCCCTTCCAATCTGGTGGAACGCTGCCTTTAATGTAAACAGTATATGCATGTCCATGTTGGAAATCCGTAGGCTTATAAACGGAAATTCGTTTCTAAGTTTTCGAAATTTTTGAATTTTGCTTCCATGCTTCACGCCACATGTCATTACAGAGCCTTTGCTCCACTAAATGATATATTGCCCACATTCTTAAATCGAGTTTGCCACTCTTGCATAAGGAATCTGCATCAGATTCCGGACGATATAATGTCTTTGACTAGAAATTAGTGAATATATATTTTGAAAAAGAGTAAAGCACTAAAGAAAAACATCATTATTAGCTCTGGTGAGAAGGCATACTTATATAGTTTTTTCAACGTTTTCCGATCTTTATGGCCTAATTTTGCGCGACAATGTATAGCTAAGCACAACCTTATTCCAAAATCCTGTAAAGATTTCCTTTCCCATCTGGTCCCTCGTCTGTCCCCTGTCGTACAGAGCTTTGACTTCAAAAAACTGGAATGGGATATATAAATTTGAGCAAAGCATACTGTGTTTTTTGCGTAAAGAGAGTTGAAAAAGAGAAAGTCGATTGATCCATTTCTCACCTGAAATCCTAGCGGATCGAATGATGCGATAGGCTTCACTAAACCATAAGCGATTTTTTCGTCTTTACGCTCTGGCTCATAAGTGCCAAATAATCTGAATTGCTACGGACAAAATTTCTACATGATCAAACAACATAAACAACAACAAAATCAACATAATCATCTCACCTATCCCAGATGATTAGCACAGCGCCGTAATTCCTATCAATACAGTATGGGTTTCTTGCGTGGTGAACGCGATGATTAGATGGTGTGCACAAGAAATAGTCCAATGGACCCAAGTTCGGAATCACCTAATTGACTCGGATTGTTGTCAGCTAAAGTCACCTTCTCTTGTTGTCAGCATCTAAGCAGATCTTGCACTGTGACGAATAAAATGTTGAAAAAACTAACAAAGCTTTTCCCGTTTACGCTTTAGTCATTAGAATAAACTGTGGATAATTTGGGAGGATTAGAATACTAGTTGAGAAGCTTTTCCCCTGTTTCTACTCCTATAATAAAACTCTTTGAAGTGAAAAAATACGCTCGCAGCAAGCCAGCTGTCTGTACTGGAAAAGCCGACTTCTTCATATTTTATCTTATTTTATTCGCCAGTAATATGCGCCTTGATTATAGTATTCCTATGGTTGCTGTAATCTAGTCCTGTACAAGAAAGTTTAAAGCCTCCGTGTGGAGGACCAACGTTTTCGTAAAAAGAGCAAAGTTTGCACAATCGTCTTCATCGATACTATCTGTTACAGATTGAGCGGAAGCGCTGAGGCTGGAAGCAGTGGTGACTGGGCATGCTGGTAAAGATTTGGTGCTCTAAAGGAATATTGCACTCGTTAACATTATCGATTTTGAACTGAACAGTTGGAGCAGGAGGGGGTGAAGGCGGCTTGGACGGGTAAACACGCTGATTATGAACATCTCAGCCAACATGAGACGTCAACAATTGCATTCCATTCCATCTTCATCTTCGTGGTAATCAGTGGTTATCAAAGAACGCTACTGGAAGAGCGATATGTATTCAGAAAAACACATCGGGCCACAGTAGTGGAGGACCTGGGGACAGATAAATGCCAGAAGAAAGTGAGAAACTGTGGAGCGAGTTGTACTTCAATATGTTGACAATGATGGAGCGAAAGATAATATGTCAAACTGTAAAAATATATTTCATGCTCGACCATCCTCGAATTTTGGCATTTTATGTTCAATAATTAGTTCTCAGTAAGTTAGTGAGCGTTTCCAAAATTGTTATCCGTTTATCAATACAACGACATCAGTGAACAGTTCGACGTTTCGGCAGGGTCGCCTTTCTCAAGACCTGGAAAGTGAGTTGATATATTCCACGTTCCAAGGGTAGACATACTTTCAGCGATAGAGTTCAAGTGCTTGTCCACAACCCTGGCACTCAATCAGGCCACTATATGCCAACCCTTGTGATGGAATGAGGTTCCCTTTTACAGGCAGCGTCCGGGCAAATCTGGGCCTATAGGGATCTCATCTGGAGAGCAATCCTGGAGTCCTAACTAGAACACTGCCCAAGCGGCAGCTCAATGAGCTCACAGTTGAGATATTCGCCTCCAAACTGGACCCGGGATCGTCTTTGCATGGATTCATGTCGCTACACACCAGTTTCTCGCGAGGATCCACGCGTGTCGCGCCATGAATCCATGCGCATACGATCCCGGAACGCAGTTTGGAGGCGAATATCTCAACTGTGAGTTCGCCATTTAAGCTGCCGCTTGGGTAGTGTCTTAGTTAGAGCCCCACAATTACTTTTCACATCAGTACCCCGTATGTCTAGATATTCCTGGACGCTGCCTTTAATGCCAGAATTGAATACACACAATGATAAAAATGGGACGAGCTCATTACTGATAGCCATTTGCTCTTCCTTTCTGTTCAGTTTAGACATTGGACGTGATTCAACAAGCCTCTATAGGTTTTCGTGCTGCAATGTCGGTTTCTTTCGAGAAAACGGCAATGTCAATTTGAAATTGTTTGTTCAGATGGCAAGCACAAGCGCCGAGAGGCGTGAAACACTTGCGATTTTTCCATTCCGTCCAAATGTTCGTTAATTCGTGCACACTGCGGTCTTCCTGTTCCTCCAATATATTCTTCACCACACAGTTTACAAATCAAGTACACAGCGCCACGACCCATGCAGTCTCCCGGTTTGTTAGAACTGCATATATTACAGTCCGTTTTTGAACAGGCTGGATTGTAACTTCTGCTACGCACCACCCGCTGCTTGAAGTTTGGGGTGGGAGTTCGACAACCCTTAGCGTATTTTGCAGGCCGGCTTTAGAACGTAGATTCTAGTCGCAGCGCTTAACTTATCAGATATAAATGGCATAAGGAATGACACCTTTTGGCTGCTGACTCATTAAAAACTCTAGCATTTCTTACAATGAACGTTTGTGTTTTCGTTTTTCGACAGCAGGTAACCGTTTGCTTGCGCAATTCGTATAGCTTGGATGCGCATTCCAGAGCGCTTTTTGAAGACACTCTTTTGGACGTTCGCAGCATATTTCTGGTAATACTAGGTTTCATTTGAGTTGGGTGTGCAGAGGAAATGTACAAGTATGCTTTTTTTATTGGTTGGTTTTCTATACCAGCATGTTGTGTACTCTCCTCTGCATAAGCAGATCTCGACATTGAGGAACAGTAACCATCCCTGCTTAGACGTTTCCTTGTAAATTTTATGTCATTTGATTGAGCATTGAGTATGTCAAAGCATAGATCCATTCCGCCTGTGTTGGACAAACGATGATAGTATCATCGATGTATTTGTAGTAAAGAACAGGTCGAGGTTGAAAAATGATTCTTTTATCTTTGTGAACTGTTTTTAAAATAGGTGTCAAACGCTGGCCCATTGCGAGTTTCCTAGACTGTTTATAATATTGTCTTGCCCATTTGAAAACCGAACATTCTAAACATTCTCTCAACAATGCCATAACTTGTTGTACGTTAAAGCCATAGAAACTGATACTGTTACTCTTTTCGAACTGTAATTCAAAAACAGTTTGTTGCGCATTGGTGTTCGAGAGATTTGTAAATAGAGAGGTGACGTCAAAGGATCCTATAAGTCATTTTCGCTAAATCTCGTATTTCTTAAATTGGTAAGTAAGACATTTGTATTAAACAAGTGTGCATGGACACGTGATGTAACTGTGTTAGATTCAGATTAAGTAATTAGCATATCCTTGTGTCGGACCACGGCGTTACTGATGATAGGGCAAACTATGTAGTCTGAAGCATTTTTTTTTGAATTGAGTAAGTCGGTTGGTAATTTATGTCGTTCAATGAGGACATATAAAACAGGACATACTGGTACATCAATCTTGAGGGGGGATAAAGTTTGCTTAACGAGACCTTCTGTTCGCGCTATTTCAGTCCAGACCCTATTCAACTCTTTATATTGTCATACGATGCATCGTCTTGGAGATGTTGTTGCATTATGGCAATCTCCAATTGTTTTGGCACGACTATGAATTCACCTCCCTTATCAGTGATCCCGATTTTGGAAGGTTGGACAACTGGTTGAATTTTCGTTGTAATCGTACTTTGGCAATGGAGCGAATCGAGTAGCAGATGCTCTTAGACTCACTCGCCACTCTTTTTTAGAGGCTATCGGGCAGAAATCGCTCACAATACAATTCTTTAGCTATACATTTCTCAATCAAACTATACACAAAGTACTTCTTCGTTCTTAAAGCCATTCCCAAAAGTTGTAGCTCAATTTTGTGTAGCAGCCACATATCCTTTGGGAGCCCCATGTCTGGTGTAAGTTTTTCATTCTTATGAAGTCTGGAATCACAAGAATGTCCAGATATCGATGGAGGAAATAAGTGGTTTGCCTCTAGCAACAATGTTTTGCATTGACAGCACTTCTCTGACTAGTCGAAAATATCTCGCTGGTAAATGCGACATGATACTACGATGTTTGCGCAAGCAAACGGTTACCTGCTTTCGAAAAACGAAAAAACGAACGTTCGTTGTAAGGGTAAGGCGCTGCTTGAAGTTTGGGGTGAGAGTTCGACAACCCTTAGCATATTTTGCAGGACGGCTTTTTGAACGTAGATTCTAGTCGCAGCGCTTTAACTTATCAAATATGAATGGCATAGAAATGACACATTTTCGCTGCTAACGTCATTAAAAACTCTAGGGTGCGTACCAGAAGTTGCAATCCAGCCTGTTCAAAATGGACTGTAATATATGCAATTCTAACAAACCGGGAGACTGCATGGGTCGTGGCGCTGTGTACTTGATTTGTAAACTGTGTGGTGAAGAATATATTGGAGGAACAGGAAGACCGCAGTGTGTACGAATTAACGAACATTTGGACGGAATAAAAAAATCGCGAGTGTCCACGCCTCTGGGCACCACATCGTGTGCTTGCCATCTGAACAAACAGTTTCAAATTAACATTGCTGTTTTCTCGAAAGAAACCGACATTATAGCACGAAAACCTAAAGAGGCTTGTTGAATCACGTCTAATGTCCTAAACTGAACAGAAAGGAAGAGCAAATGGCTATAGTAATGAGCTCGTTCCATTCTTATCATTGTGTGAATTTGAATCTGGCCTTAAAGGCAGCGTTCAGGCAAATCTAGACATACGGGGTTCTGATGTGAAAGTAATTGTGGAGCCCTAACTGAGACACTGCACAAGTGGCAGCTTAAATGGCGAACTCACAGTTGAGATATTCGCCTCCAAACTGCGTTCCGGGATCGTATGCGCATGGATTCATGGATTCCATGCGAAAACGATCCCTGGATCCAGTTTGGAGGCGAAAATCTCAACTGTGAGCTCATTGAGCAGCCGCTTGGGTAGTGCTCTATTTAAGGCTCCAGGATTACCCTCCAGATGAGATCCCCATAGGCCCAGATTTGCCCGGACGCTGTCTGTAAAAGGGAACCTCATTCCATCACAAGAGTTGGCATATAGTGGCCTGATTAAGTGCCAGAGTTGTGGACAGCCACCTGAACTCTATCGCTGAAAGTATGTTTACTCGTGGAGCGTGGAATATTTGACTCACTTTCCAGGTCTTGAGAAACGCGACCCTGCCGAAACGTCGACCTGTTTACTGACGTCGTTGTATTGATAAACGGATAACAATCTTGGAAAGGCTTACTAAATTACTGAGAATGTAAAATTATAGTTGAGTTCCGCATAACTGCTGACGGTGTCATATGCAGTAATGCACGAACTGAAGGCTGCTGTGTGAGATGGAAAAATGCCATCAGCATTTAGGGTTATATTATGGTTGGCTACTGTCAATGTCTCCATCAAAAGGCTAACAAATGGCACTTAGGGCCGCATGGATTGACATCCTCATTGGGGTACGGACGCGCCTTGGGAAGGAAGTTTCATGTCCTGAAGGTTTTGACACTTAGATTTCTCGCTATCCATTCGCAAGTGCTTCTGTTACCCTTTACTAAAACAAAAATTTAACACGAACGAGAAGTTACATAAGCCGCATTTCTCATGTTTCTGTATAATCTCCTGTAATCCCTCGCGTTCGGCTGTTTTATCTCAGAAGTCATTTGTCTTTTTGAAGCAAATAAAACCACTCAAAAATTTCATTGACTGTCTAACCCAGCACTGCTAAGCATGAAGAGGAAATAAGTTATCAAAATATTAAGACTTTTGACAAGCTCCAACTCCTGACCTGAGGATTCATCTTTTCATGAATTCGGTGCAGCAGTTGTTCTCATCAGAAACATGCTTAGCAGTGTTGTATCAGACAATTAGTACAACTTTGGAATGTTTTCATCACTTTCGAGCAAAGAATGACATTGAAAATACGATGGTTAGCTGCCGCGGATCACCAGTGGATCATAGAAATGCAACTTGCACGAATTCTCGTTCCTGTTCGATATATTCAAAGTACAGGATAGTAGGAACAGGGTCAAGCGTGTGATGCGCCTGTCGCGACGGAGGTCGTAAAGGGGGCTTACGGTGAGGGAAGGGGGTCGTAAGAGGGGGTAGTTTGGATAAAAAACCTACGATTGAAGCAAATCAAATAGCAAGTATTTATTACATGTTCTTATCAATAAATTCATGGAATGCTGTGTACCAATGGATCAAATAAAAACGAGTGAACAATAATTTGAAAACAATTGCAAGCGTAGAAATTTGCCACATTTGTTGCACTTTTGAAAGATTACGACTTAGTTCTTTTTTATGGGAATCGCTATTTCTCCCGCAAAATGTTGTCTCAAACGAGGATCGAACCCTGCTGGCATGACTAAAATCCAAAAAATAAACACTTTCAGAAGCTCAAATGCTACTAAAGGCATGTATGTGTGATAAAGATGTTGGATGTACCGATTGGTGTAGACATCCTGCTTCCGAAGGCTCACTGAAGACTCGCACACTCGACAAAAGCACACATGTAGATCAACGATGAGAATCAATAATTCGTAAATTTTTTTGTAATGCCATTTATGCGGCCCTTACAATTTATATGTACTTTAGATAAGCCCTGCTACTGTTGTGCGAAATCTGGGGTTGTTTTATAAACTGCGGATTTCCTCATGATTTTATGTATAGTAGCAAAAAATGAGGAAAGGGAGGTCGTATCTGCGCCTGATCTAAATTTCTCTGAGCTGTTAAAGCTTGTTAGCTGCAAACTTGCTGTAATACGTGGCCATCCCTCAAGTTTTTACATAAGAATTTCAGGCTGTTTTATAACTTCTCTGGTAAGTTACAAAATTTTGAGCTCAAAAATCCCAGTCTTTGCTTTTTAGGATCGCATCTAAATTTGCGAGAGGCTGATCTAAATTTTTTCGAGCTCACTGCTCCTCAAGGGCTGAAACTTTTTCTATGAATAGTCTGGGCGCAATGCTACAGAACCTGTTCTTTGCAGCCTCTCAGTCTTTTCCTGGCCTTAGTTACGAATTTTCAAACTACCGTGCTCATGCATGTTTTTGACGTCGTTCTGAACGGCGCTAACGCGGTTTTTTCGCAGGAAAAAGTTCTTAGTCGAAAACATCCTTTGTAGTTCAAGAACGTCATTTTGATTTCCGTGTAAAAATTTGTGTCGCATACGGGGATCGAATTTGCCGGCCAGAAGTATGCCTGAAAATTCGAAAGTAAACTTGGAGACTCTCAAACATTATTGAAGGTGTGTATATGTGCTAGAAATGCTGGGCGCACCCACTGGCCTAGAAATTCTGCTTCCGAAACCTTACCAAAGTTCACGCAGGTGTTTTTTGAGATTCACATTCGTTTATGCAAGTTACCGCGAGAAATATGGGCAGGAGAGGTAAGGGGGATAGAGGGGAGGAGGAGGGAGGTGGAGGGAGAGGTCGTGCAAATGGGTACCTTCAAGTGGGGGTCGTAAATGAGGGTCCAGGATCGCATCAACACGCTTGACCCTGGTAGGAATACATGAGCAGACTGCAAGAAAGCAAGACGTCTAAAACGTCATAGTATGAGGCTTTCATATGAGCTGCGTTCTCGTCCCCAGCGAGGGTAATGATGCCTTTAGACCGAAAGTAAGTCCCTCGATTTTCTCTTTGTCGCCTCATACCCACCAACGACATTCTTATTCCTCCATTATTAACTTGTCAAGTCCCGTCAACGCGATATCAGCAAAAAAAACTCACATTTGTATGTTGCCAGAATCTGAACATCAAACTGAGACAGCGGTGAACAAAGAAGATGTTTGGCGGAATAATTGTCGCTTGCATCAGATCGAAAGCAAGCAGACCAACGTCCTAAAGGCAAGAACATGAGTTCAGTGCTAGCTGGTTTTGTACTCTTCTAGGCACAGGAATAATTTTTTATTGCAACATAACTAATTATGGTACATCACGGTTAACTGAGTTACAATTAAGTTAAACTCCAAAAAATATGATTTTTTTACCTCTAAAAAGCCTATCCTCATAGCTGTGCTAAAGTTGAAATATTCCGAAGAATGATGCACCTGGTGGAACCACCAACCCAACCCAACCTCTGAAACTCAATAGTTTAGTTTTTACTCACCATTGGTGAACATATGTCAAAGCTTTCCCTTAATGTTTTTTATATGTGCACTCCATCGATTTTTCCCCTCTAGCTGCTTTGTCGAAGTTTTTTGATGTTTACTGAGCCACCTTCTAGTTAGTGCCTATCTTTATCATAACAATGACAACTTCTTAATCTCGTCGTCCTCCTTTATCAGATATTGAATTATATATTGTTTTCAGATAGAAAGGAATTCGTCTTGCCAACTTTGCTGTAGGCAAAAACGATGTACAATGGTCCCAAGAAATGTACACTCTCTTCGGTTGCTGAGATTTCTCTTGTAAGGTCTCTTGCTTAGCTTTAGCTAGTATTTTTAGGATTCTTTCAATTCAAACTTACAGTACAAAACAAATCACCGATCAATCACTGTAAAATTACTCTAAGGGCTTCCAGCATGCATCCCCGTATAAAGTAAGCTGTCATTTTGAAGAAAAAATTCAAACAACTGAGTATATGCAGGTTTTTCAGGCTGCTGATTCAACAACTAAATTCTTATCTCTTTTCCACGTTTCAAGTTTTTAATCACATTTTTTTTTGAAAGATTTTAATGATTAGATGTTAATGCGGTTTACCTTGGTGCACCTATCATAAAAGCTCTACAGTAATTGCGAATAACATGTTCATTATTAGCAACTCAGTTTAGCCTAACGATAAAGTTCTCAGTGTTGTGTATTCATTTCAAGCCAAAATATCCAGCGAAAACTGAGTTCAAAAATGATGAAGACAGTGATATGATAATCTAGGTTGGAATCTGCTTGACAAAAACAGAAACGTACTTGAAGCCAAGAAGATTATATGAGAAGATAGTTGCTAACGATAAAACAATGTGTACAAACTTTCGGGATACTCATCAGTATCCCCAAAGTGCCCCCATTGTACACACTTTGGGGATACCCATCGGCATCCAAGTTCTGCGACTTCTGCACAACTTTTCTCTTTTTATACATACTATTAGCGCTCTCATTCTTTCGCACACTGTAGTGATGAGGGCTATAATGCGCTGACAGTTCGCCTTTGCAATGACACAATAGGAATAATCTAAGCTTTTTGAACTTTTTGGAGGTTTGCGGTTTAGCAAAAATGAAGCCGTATACAACGCTGAATCATACACTGCGAAACATAGTGAATAAGGTGAATTATGAAAACACATTAAGATCTAGTACCTAAAAAAGTTGAACAAATGTACCACATTATGATGGGCAGGCACCTGTTACTGTGTAAAGAGCGAAGCATGAAAATCGGCCCGGGGCCTAGCACGAGAACGGCAAACGCTATGCTGGAAATTGTTCTAAAATGAAAAAAAGAGTTATAAACGAATTACAGTAAATAAACGTTTATATGCGCTCATACCCCTCAGACCGAACACGTAGCAAACACTAGTACATTAGTAACAGGGGTTAACGTGCTCAAATTGGCTTGTAGCAAGCCCCTATTCAACGCAACTGGCCTAGGGGCGGGCCTATGTTGAACATAGTACGCCTCACTCAGGCATTTAGTGAGCTTTCGATCTGGATGCGGATCAATTTCTGGACATAAAACCATGTACGTCCTCAAAAACGCAAGCACCTGAGCAGGTTTGGTCGAAGGGCTAACTGGTTGGAATTCAACGCACAAGGCCGTGGTCCAAAATCTGTTGGACTAATATTCCTACTGCGTTGCAAGCAAACTTTGATAACGGTCATTAATCAAAAATCGGGGATGCGGGGATGACCATTATCAGGAATTTCGTTTAGGAAATGAACGGATATAAAAATCGCAATTTTTTGGCATGCATAGTGATGAAAAATTAAAATTTTCAAAAAATAAACAGAAAGATAAACTCAAGTCCATTTTTAGGCGGTTTCTCTAAAAAGAACAAGCATAATCTATAAGGAAGGTATAGAGAGGCTTTTTCTACTAATTTATCGTCACAGTCAGCTGCCGTTCATTGATCCTCCCGCTTAGGTCCCCGATTGTGCAGATTTGAGAGTTTTGCGACGCAACAATACACCGTCAACATTTTTGCGCGACTATAAGGATAATAATTTCAAAAGGGAACTCATCTCTTGATATTCTAATAAACCGTCAAAAATTTCAAACGCTGCAAAAAAACCTGAAATTGTGTCTTTTACTATCTCTTAACCTTTGAGTTAAGTGGATCGGCGGTTTAAAGACGCGGCTTTGTGACTTGCTCAGAGCAGCTCGCGTCCGCGATGCATTCTGCGTCTCTCCCGCGCGCACTTCATCTCTGGTTTCCCTAGCCTTAACTAAGTCAAGGATCCCCGTCTTCTAGCCGCCAATCCAGTTGAATCAAAGGGTAAGCTGCTCAAAAAGTATTCTGGATTAGGTCGTCAAAAAGAAATATTGTGGGAAAGCCCGGTAAAGCACTGGAAGGTAGGCGGTCACAAACTCTTAGGAAGTTCTTCTGATGTTTAACCTCAGGTCAACTAAGGCCCATGTGCACGTACACTGCCGCTGGGGAGGCGAGGGGATCTAAGAGGGATGCGTCATATCTCGCTACGCTAAATATCTTCATTCTTCCTTCTCTATCTTGCTTATAAAGGTTCTTCTCAATGGATAACAGGTTGCCATATAAGATTGGTTTTTACGTTGATTAGCTATGGTCGTGTGATGCCCTGTGATTCCCCATGGATTCTCAGGGAATCCCCGGGGATCACCTCTTATTTTCAAATATGGCAAAAAACCAGTCTTGTAAGAAAGTCAACATTATGCACAGATATAAGTGTACAAAAACCTTCATAATCTTCATAAGCAAGAGAGTAAGAAAAAGAAAGATACGTAAAGTAGAGTGAGATATCACCTCTGAAATCCCCTCCCCTCCCCAGTGGGGATGTACGTACTTATGGGCTAAGATGAATGGAGGTTTACTATGGGCCACTAAGATGAATGGAGGTTTACTATGGGCCACTATCTTACCCAAAGCACGCTTTTCGAAACCGAGTTTCTCATCATTGTTTACAGTGCACAGATAACGATATAACACCAAATCTGGTACTATATATAGTACCAATAAAGAGAGGCAAATCGGATTTTTTGTGGAAAAAGTTATGCGGCTAAAGAGTGTGGCAAGCTTTTTACTAGTAACTTTCCATTTTCGGGAGACGAAAATTAATCATTTGCAAGGCACAAATAACGATAAGGATCTCCAAACTCAGTTTGTAAATGTGAAGGAAACAAGAGCAGAGTATTAATTCATAAAAACTTACGTGGTGCTAATTTTTTTTAAAAACTTCACCACTTTAAAGGTGGCAAAACATTCAGTTTACACATTTTTTTTCTTTTTACAAAAAATTGTCCCACATACAATCTACCGTGAATATTTAAGCTCCATAACTCCTCTCCTCCTCTTTGTTAATCTGGAATAGCAATGAAGTTGGACTTTTCGAGTAAGAAAGGCGTATATTGCCACCCTCGTGCCGTGCCATGTGTTGGAAGCAAACTCCATATCTATTTGCTGCTAACAAGGGAAGGATACTTGATCGCAGTGACGATTGGGCAAGCGGTGTATACCGCGTATACCGTCCCCAGACGGTGATCTCTGAACCGCATTCCATATCTGCTATGACGTCATTCTGGAGAGTTACAAAAATTTTTTGGTGCAGTGGATTGTGGCTTGGACTGCAAAGCCGGACGTCATGGGTTCGATTCCTCTGGGATGCCACCCGTTTTGCATTTTTTTAAAATTCAAGCAAGCAAGTTGCAAAACCTGCCGACATCAAAAAAAGTTGATTTTCACGATGTGAAGCAATCTATTTACATTTATTGGCACTGAACCACCGTCTAACCTGAAAACGCCTAACAACACTCTTTTTTAGCCCTTTTCTATTAAAATACTTTACTCAATTTTGCATAAAAAAATTCCAATTCGTGCTTAAGATAGAGAGGAGCAGCTAAGCTGTCAAAAATGGCGTCTTTATCGATTTTTGGATGCACAATATGTTGATCAACTGGTGTTCAAGGCTAAAAACGAGTGTTCTTAGGTTAGACGGTGGCTCAGTCCAATAAGGTAAATATATTGCTTCATGTTGTGGAAATCAACTTTTTTGATGTCGACAGGTTTTGCAATTTGCCTGCTAAAATTTACAAAAATGCAAAACGGGTGGAATCCCAAAAGAATCGAACCCACGACGTCCAGCTTCGCAGTCCAAGCCGCTATCCACTGCACCAAAAATTCTTTATAACTCCTCCAGAATGACGTCATAGCAGAGGAATGCGGTTTAGAGATCACCGTCTGGGACGGTATACGCGGTATTCACCGCTTATTCAATCGTCACTGCGATCAAGTATCCCTTCCTTTGTAAGACAAAAACATGCCTTGGTCTTATGAAAGAGGCCGTCTTCTAAGAATGAGGTACTGTTTTTGTAAACAGTATGTAGAGCAACCCAGCCTTTTGGACCAAAATAAGCAAAATCTATAGTAATCTGGAAATTTCCTCTTATACAAGCCTAAGTGACCTTTACAAGCGATGAGCTTGCCGTTTTATTTACTACAATGATTACCACTACAAAAATTACATGCTGCTAGATAGGACCTACCATGCATAGCTCTATGCCCTGAATAGTAAGATAATTCTTGGAGCAAAAAGCCCAAAATCCATGTGTAAGCCGAGTCCTTAGGAAAGTCAATTATGTGTATTCGTTCGTAGACCGACCCGTAAAATGCACGCGAAAGAAATCTTCCTCGTACTCTGAATCAAGCTTGTTCACACAAATATGTAAAAAGATTAAGTGGACTAACTTCAATAGAGAGAAGAGAACTCCAGTGTTGACTGAAGTCACCGTATCATTGAATGCGTAATTCCGATCATCGAGCAGAAACTCCAGAATCATAAGTACGAACATCCATGTCATAGTCTTAATCAACTTGGATAAAAGAAGGTTGACATGATATGTAACTGGGTTTATGGAAAGATATCAGCTTGATGCAAAAATAATGTCCATTTCGTAAAGTTTCACTTTGACTAGCTATAACTTTGTCCAGGGCCCGGCACGCATTGGTTCGGAGGTTTTTAGGAAACAAAGTCTCCTATGACTTCGCGAAAATTTACGAAGTCCCTCTCGACGTGAAAATCATTAGGGAAACCCTTATTCAACCAAAACAGCAACAAAAAAGCGAAAAAAGCGCATTCTGAGGTATGTGATATAACAAATAGCAAAAAGAAAACATTTCGAGTCGATTGAAGGCTCTGCCATTGGGTATAGTATTTGATGCTGGGAATGTCGAAAATCTCCTAGGTCAACCAAATCTGTAGCCTCAACAATCCTGCTATGCATTTTTCGCCACATATTTCAAAGGGCACCGCAAGTGATTGGAGCGCGATATCTGTCAACGCGTAAATTATACTACTTTTGACTTAAAAAAAGGGGAGAGGTAACGGTTTGATCCGTTCTCTTCACTAAATGATAGATTTTTACCGTTCTAATCGTCCAAATCAAAAAGGTCCAAGACTTATGTGAACTTTCCGATATTTATGCTTCGAACCAACCCAGTTGGTTTGGTAGTTGATCTAGAAACCTACAAATCCGAGAACGGATATTAGGACACATAAGTTTTGGGAACTTTTTACATAACATAGTTTGTACTAATATTGTATGCGCCGTAAACAAGCCATTTGTTTGTTTGAGTCTTGCATTTGAAATTCGCGCGCTTGCGAAAGAACACGTTCAACTCGTGAAACCTGACATGTTCGTCGTGTTTTTTGGCGCTTGCTCCAAGACCTCATAAAAACGATGTCCCCGTTGCTTCTAACTCCAAAAACGAAGTCAAGTTTGACCCCAAACCATCGGTGCCGGGCCCTGACTTTGTCCATTTCTTATTTTCGATGATAGTAAAGACCGTCAGAAGCGTAATATTTTTCTAACTCAGTGCACACCTGCTCAACTGCAAACAAGAAGGGAACATGCATTATAAACTGAAAGTTCTCCTTTTGAGACCCTCGTTGAGAAATTACAATTTCTTTAATTTTTTTGCTATGGCTAGCAATAACAGATTATGTAAATCGGAACAGTAATATATGTACGTATGAAAAAGATTTTGAAAAAGGAGTTGTGCGATGAAAAAAGTTATAAATCCAAAATTTTACACTTTTTGAGCCTATTTGTTGTTGGCCTGAAAGTCCCTGTTCTTGGAAATTTGTAATTTTTCGTGCACTGAATACTAACTTTTTGGCAAAATGTCCTAATCTTATAGGCAGTGTCCCGGCAGATTCGGGTCCTGGTGGATATACCTGTGGTGGGGTTCCTGGTCACCCCATCGACCTCCAGGCGCACTCCGGCTGGGTGATGTTCCCCCTGGGCCGAGAAAATGGCCCTCGAACCGGCGCGCGCAACCCCAACTGGCGCGCGCTTGGACGGCCTTCCCCGCCTGTTCGGCGCGGGACCCCACGAGCGCTCTCCCCCATGATGCATGCTATCCAAAGCAAGAATTACAGGCGGCAGGATCTTCGTCTGAGGACCTCCCCCAACTTTTCATTAAAAATCTCGTCCAAGCTGCTTTTCTGGAATTGGGAAAACGCCCCAAAATCAGCCTTTTCAGCCCGTTCAAAGCTCAAATTCGGATTCTACGTGGCGAAAAAGCCTAAAACATGCAAAAAGGTGGAGGTGCAAAATCTGCCGGGACACTGCCTTTATGCTTACAGATAAGCGAGGCTTTGACGATTGCCTCGAACAAAAGAATTTCTTGACCCATAAAATACTAGCAGCGAGTATCTAATTCGGGGCATCGATTTCTCAGTCCACATATCTTTAAAATATATATTTAAACATGCAATAGGTAAACAATATCTATTCCACGTCGTAGCTATATTTTCAAAAACATCTGATGGTCTATGCCTGAATTATGCCCAAAAAATGAAAGCGATGAAATACGATTTTGAGTGCGAGTGTGCAAACTGGTGGACAAATTCTTACGGATGAGGGGAATTAATCGCACCTCCCTTAAAAAGTTTAGAAAAAGCAAAATCTGTATCGGAATAGGAAGTCTGTTAGGAACAAAGTTATTCGGGAAATAGGCTTAGAGAAACGGACATTATTCTTGCACCAACCTGCTAACTACCCACGAGAAATTCAATTTCTGTATAGCTAAAGAATTAGGAACCTCACCAAACTAAGATAGTGAGGCACTTCCTCGTCATTGTTGTAAATCGTCTCATTTGGTGTCACAAAGTAAAACATGTATCGAAGATTATTGGGATTTAGATCCGAAGTAGTTTTGTTCAGTACAAATAGTAGAAAATCCATCTAAATTGTGCTGCATTAGACTATTCCTCCCAGAGTCTAAGAAACAGTGAAAAAAATTAACTCTTCCAGATTATCATCGTTTTAAGCGGTAAACATGCTAAAATCTTTACACGTTAAGGAAATGGAAACACTGGCTTCGAAGGCTAGACAAAATTACTAAATACAATAGAGCAGAAACCAAGCATCGTCGCTTAAATTGAACTAGAGCAGTTTGCAATGTCGCAAGTATCTGACTTTTCCAAGAAAAACCGGAAAATGATAAATTAGGACTTCTAAATGGACCAAAACTTGCTCTGTCGAATGCGTAGTCAGACAATTCGGCGGTTCGGCAAGTAGACAGTCACGGTAAGGAGTTCCTGTTTATAAGTTTGCCTAAGTTGGTGAGATAAAGTTGGACAAAATCAGGTAACAAACATTTTAAAGTGACTTAAAAAAGTTGGGTCATTAATGGAGCTCAATTATGGAAGAGGCGAGAAAAAGTGGAAAGTTACTTAACACAAGGTACCAAGTCACAGATGCTGTGAAGGTAAATTTAGCAATTCAATCATAATGCTATCCAGGTTTTGAAAAAACTCTAAGCTTTGAAATTTGCCTAACATTTCAAATTCTATCGCTGCATTCAAATTTGGTGAACCTAGAGTCATTAGCAGCATTCTAAAAAATTCCAAATCATAAAATGTGTCGGTTGTTCTTCTTGAATAGCGTAGGTCTCGCTCTAATGACGAGCTTGAAAGCTCACTTCAATCACTTTCAGTTGAACATGGCCAGTTTTTTCTCCTGAGCAAATATCAAAGCGATTTCAAAAGCTACACGTACTTAGCCAAATAAAACTACAGGTAGTGCATATGTTTTTGCGATACAAATTAATGTACGCGGAAAACAGTAGTAGAACGTTTTAAACCTAATTTGAAGGAACCTCTTTGGTTTGAACATGAGTCGCAGCTCTCCAGAGGGCGAGTTCACTTCTGCCACGTCCTCTCTCATATCAAAGGCATACCATAGGTCAATCTTTGAGCTCCTGAAATCTTTGAACTGAGATTATAGGCAAACACCAGACAATGTTTGGCCACCTTTCCTTTCACTAACCAGCAGCTATGCTTTTGAATCTATATTTTTGGAAGTACTTAAATGAATGTCAAATTCAGGAAGGCATTGTTCTTGCTACGTTCGCATTCAGCAAGTTCCCACCTTTTGTAATCTTCCACATAAAGTCTTATAACAAGCAGATAAAACCAGCACCCCTGCACTGCAAAAGTCCTTTAGCGCTTCTTTGACATGTTTCTGATTTTGCAAGATATAAACAAATCGATGTAAAATTTTTAAGCGTTCTAACTTGAACCATAATTCGGCGAATCTAAATGCAACCTTTTTCTTTTTTTATAAGCAAGTTCTTCTTGTGCAAATTATGCAGTCTCTTCACATTTAGTCGATATTTATCTTATTGATACAGTATGAGAGTACCTGGAGCACCAAAATATGTTGATTCATGACAAGAACACTCTTGTTTCGTGAATTCGGTGTTGCCAAACGAGTTTTAAAATGTTTGATTCTTGAAAATTCTGTAGGTGGTGCAGTCGCATCACCACTCTTTTCAAAACTGACATACTGAAGATAAATCTTAAGTTCTTTGGAAGACTGGTGAAGAAAGTGAAGAAACTACAAATGATTTGCTTCATCCGATTGTTACGTATCTCCCTACTTACTCTAACTGTACAAGACAAAAATTGCGAGTTCTGAATATAACAAAAACATTCAAAAACATATCTTTTGAAAAGGAAGAAACCTATGGAAATACCTTACAAAGTGATATTGAACATTATTCTATGTAATTTGCAATAACATGCGAAAAAAACTAGCAATAATGTTCAACAAAACAGAAAATCAAACCAAAGTAAATTATCGCTTGAAAATTTTGAACGAACAAAATGGTATATTTGAGCGAAAAACTTACCAATCAATCTTCTCGAACATTTTTACATTAGGGGGCGAATGCAATGCAGAATGGACGGTATGACGAGGAAACACTCGTAGTAATCCAGTTTTAAAAAGTCTACAAATATCTGAAGCTACGACATCAAAGTGCAAATCCAGAACCAGTTCATTCTGTTATTGCTCTTTAGAAAAAATTGAGTTGTAGTCACTCACTCATCGACATTTTGTAAACATTTTTTTCCAACAAATTTTCCAGAAAAACAAAGTTATTGGAGTTATTAGTCTTTGCTTTTTCCTGGAAAATTTGTAGGTGCTCGAAAAATTGAGTAGAATAGAAAAGATAAAGGCGAAGCATAATTTTATATGCGATCAAGAGAAACGATAATTTTTGGTTGCTGCGTTGCCTACATGTGTGATAATAACTTGACTGACCTTGCCTTTCTATTTAATCGCAGACAGAATTTCAGCGCCTTTTTTTATTTTCTAAAAAAATCTTACTTCTTTCCTCAACCCTTCCGCAAACGGTCGACTCATCACTAGCTCTGACCACATCCAACGATGAAGGAGAGAAGATGGAATGATCCCGGTGGAAAAGAAACTATGGCTAATCCACTGGGTGATTCTTATGCGGAAGTCAAAAAAAAGTCCAACGAAGCCGCCAAACCAGTGATCGCTCAAGCAATTTCTGGCAAAAAAAGTAATGGACATTCTCAGTGGAACATCTCCAGAGTACGATAGCTCCACTGTCAAATCATCTTATTGAGATCATCACAGTTTTTGCAACGTAATGAACCGCGGGGAATGAATGAGTGAAAAAAGGAGTTTTTGAAAGTCAGTTGCGCCTGCGACATGGGCCTTTTATAATTTACTTGGCCCCAAAGAAATCACTGTCTCGATGCCTCACCGATCAAAACACATCCGCTGGTTTAACCTCAGTTTGGGCCTAACGCGCAAGTAACATCATAAAATTTTCCTTTGCTGAATAAAGTTATAAGATAAAGAGAGTCTCAGAGCTCTTAATGACAAGATTAGAATATTTGGATTAAGTAATTCATGTGTTGTGCGGTTTTTCCCATAAATGTTTTAGCTTACTATCATTTTTTCGATGATGCGGCAAGTTCATAGTCAACTTTCAAAGTATTAATCAGTGTTTTGGCTCTGTTAATGAAACTTGTTATTCTCCCTGCATGAAACAAATAACCTAAGTGTGTCAATACACAATTACTGCATTGTTGTGCTAGCACAAGACACTGTGAACGCCACTCAAGTAATGAAATGGGAACATAAATCTTCTGAAAAATGATTCATAGTTCTTGGTGTAATGCGCCAAGATGTGTTCATAAAATGCTCGACTTTTGGTCATGCCGTTAAGAAAATTTATAACTTGTTTCGTATGCAGAGCTTTGCAAGAAGGTGGCAAATGGACATCTAAGAAACACGTTTGCCTTCCAAATTTTAAGATTTGCTCTTTGATTGTGCCAGAGGCTTCAATTTTTTGAGACCGGAAATCTTTCATGCTAGTCTGGTTTCTACTAGACAAAAGAGAGGAATTGAATTGAAAATTCACTCTATAGTAAACCAGCTGGCAAACCCGATTCCGAAATCTGTAGAAGTACAAACGTGGATTTTCAGCTTTTTAGAAGCTTTACTTCTCAAGAAGTTTGAATTTCAGTTTGGATCACCTGACTAAAGAAAGCAATATTCAATATTTTTCGAGAACTAAAGCGTGTAAAGAGCTGAAAAATTTACGTTTGTACTTCTACAGGTTCGTAGTATACAACTACTTATGTGGGAACGGCACAGCATCACTCTGGCAAATGCACGAAAATTTCCGTTTTCTTGATTTCTAACAGAGGAAAAAATACGGCAACGGCGTACGTATATGTCTTATGTAGATAGTATTTACGTGAGCAAGTTAGAATATTTGTAGAATTCTTACGAATTGAATTATGATTTTCCTTGATTTTTCGGGCAGTTGAATCTTTTTAGTTTTTGGCGCGAAACTCGAGGTGAATTAGAGCTCTTGCTAAAGCAAGAAGGCCATCTTGTAGAGCTTGCTTTGCTCTATCGGGAGGTACCTTGCTATTCATGAATGAAAAGTGTATGACTTGTTGCGGTTGAATACAAACTGAGTGTAGAGATAAGAATTGGAAAAAGAAGACCATATATTGATCATTTCAAATTAGGTTTTTTTTCTGTTCAAAAGTCTGAAACGCTGCGGAAAAACCTGAAATTGATCATTTCAAGTTAGGTTTTTTTTCTGTTCAAAAGTCTGAAACGCTGTGGAAAAACCTGAAAACGTAAGTACACAGGTTTTTTGACCTACTCTTTGCCACAGTAAAAAGTTTGTGCTGTTTGAACGTTTCTGCATAATGTTAAGAATTTTGGCTTTACTACAGGAAATGCCAGAATTCATTTGTCACTTTTCTCGAAGGTCATAACTTTTTGCTGACACATTCAAGCAGCACAATCTTTTCATAGTTGTAAAGAGTAGGTCAAAAAACCTATTTACTTATGTTTTCAGAATTTTCCGCAGCGGTACAGGTTTTTAGCGACCTAATCTAAAATGATAAAAGTTCATATATTCTTCTTTTTCCATTTTTGTCTCTACAGTCACTGTGTATTAAAAACTAGAAAGGAAAGTTTTCGGATGCGAAAGACTTACTCTGTTAAATATGAACAAGGAGGCAAACCCGTTGAGATAGCTTAAAGCTACAAATTTTCAAAAATGAAACGACAGAACTTTTGGGACAGCCTAATACATGCGGGGAGCAGCCAACATGAACGATAGCTTGTGCCAGCCATATGCGTTGCGTAGGTCAAATTTTTCTCAAATTCTATTTTTCGCCTTGGTGATGCAGAAAAATGTTGAAAAAACGCCTGAAAGCTTAGTGGGCTCTGATATTTACTATTCAACCCCGTTTTCGATTCAGCGAAGAACATATTGCTTCAAAAAGGACGTCTATATGCGCGTCATAATGGCATACCGTAGAACCACAGTATGCCTATTTGCAGCTATCATTCATCTTGGTACACACCCTGTACATGAAAATGCGAGAATTCGTAAA